CGCGTGGCAGGTGGGTGCCCAAGGAGGGCGCGGGGAGCGGGAGGCCGCCCCGCGGCCAGGGCGTCTCCCCATTGCGCTGAGGGGGCAACTGAGGCGAACGCGCGCCTCAAGGTCGCGCCGCCCGCCAAGGTCGCTCGGGATTCCGGGCCGGACCGCGCCGTTCCGAGGCCGGGTGGCCTTGGGCATCACCATCTTCTCAAACTGCAGATGAGGCGCAGCCGCCTGCGTCTGAGAGGTTACGAAATGCTTCCAAAATGCCCTACTTTCCGAAAATATCTTGCAGCTCTGCCTGTGTTTTCTGCAGGAGGAAGACATCACGGCAAGAGCCCGGCGGCTCTACCTGTAAAGACACCGCAGATTCTGCCCTCGTAATCATAAAATCTCTGCGTTCCCATTTCGGCGGCAGAGTTGTGCTCTGGACTCGGGGTGAAACACAGAACTTCAGTTTAAAGTGAATTCCCCCAGGCAAAGACGTTAATAATCCTTTTATTGCTAATACTGAATGCACTTCTGTGACCCTAGTGTTTTGTTCAGAAGACCTCAAAAAGGTAAAAATTTATTCATCGTCTTCTGCCCCTTAGCTGCTGAATGTTATGGAATATCTCAAACTCAGTTTCTTCACCTAGGAACCCAGGATAGGGTTTGAGACGCAAATGAGAAACATGAAGTCCGGTGCCGGCGTGGGCAGCCTACCTGTGCTGGGAATGTCGGGTGGTTCTGTTCTCACAGCCACCCGTTATCCCCACTCACTGATGTGAATGTTACATGGCTCGCTCAGAGCAACCCTCTTGGGAGAGTTAGCGAAGGAGAACTGGAACCTGCTTCCTTTTCTTTCTCATTCCACATCACCTGGTGCTTTGTGACCTTGAGGAAGCTACTTGCCCTCATCTGGCACTGAAAAAAATGAGCAGAGGCCCTCAGGCCTAACTTCAGCTTCCCTCCCTTCCACTCTGAGCCTGAGTACAATGAGGCCCCCCTCCAAGAAAGAAATTAATGAATGCAGGAAAGCCTAATAAAAGCATCCTTTATGACTTCTCTCGCACTGTCTTAAGTCCTGTGTTTTCACCATCGAATTGTCTTAAGTCCTGTGTTTTCACCATCGAATTGTCGCAGTGGTGTCCGAGGTCCATATGCTCAAGAAACAAGTGTGTATGCTTTGTTAAGGGGGAGCGGTGTTGCAGCAGACCCTTTTATTGGCATTATGTGTCGAACTGGACTTCCTGAGTGAAACAGCAGGCACAGAACCTCCAGAACACGGGGCTGTCTGTGCCTCGTTTGGATGATTCAGACGGAAAGCAAATCCAAGGGAATCCAACCGCCCTGACCTGGCTCGCAGGAAGTATTCCGTCTCAGCAAGCAGGACTCGTTACTCTGTTCGTGTAGCGTATTACACACAAATGATCATCTCAAAATGTCTGAGCGTGAGAGACCGAGAAACCGTAACTGCAAAAATCAAATTACTCCACTTTGTAACAACACTGCTTTGGAAGACTGCAACTTGTCCCTTCAGGGCCTGGCTTGGTGCTTGCTTCTGCTCTCATGGGGCAGAAGCTGCCCCTGCTGGGGCTACCAATTAATGTCACCACCCACAAACCCAGGGCTTTTTCCAGGCAGCATCTCCCCCTCCATGAGGCACAGTCACCACCTCCTGTGTCAGAGTTGCACAGTTGATCTTCCTCTGTTCCTTACACACCTGCTGTGGTAAACCTCATCTAGTCCCGTGTCTCAGAATCTCAGGCGACTTTCAAAAAGCTCCCTCCCCAGGCCTCAGTTTGTCCCCACTGCTACAGCACCTGCTTGGCCTTTCGCAGGCAGCAGCCTCGTACCTGGGCACTGCGCCCTGGTTTGCCCTGGTATTTCTGGAGTGGTCACTCTCAAAAGCCTCTGACTTTGAAATGCACCCCCACCCCAAGGCTCCTGGGCTCCCATGGCGTGGACCATAAGCAGCCCCCCC